CACGTCGCCCTGTAGTGGGAAACCGCATATTCATATCGCCACCACCTGCAGCCAAAATAACGCCAGTATTGACGGCGTAGTTTCCGAATTGGCTACCAATTTTTGTCACAGCGCGTTCATGCGCACGCCCCTGCACTTTTGTGATCACCAAATCTGTTAATCTGTCATCTTCAAGATATCGAGCTTCGATAAACACTGAGTGAAAACGGTTAATGGAACTCTTGAGCCATTTCACCACTGAAACACGAGTTGCTACGACAGCTTCCACGTTTTCTTCACCATCTTCGATCCTTCTTTTGAATTCTGCAATCGCTTTTTCCAGTTGTGATGCAGTCACTTTTCCATCACTGTAACCATTTGGTGCTGCGTTAAACGAGAACACTGCCTCGGTGCTCATGGCCTTGTCGCCGTTTCCTCTCCCACTTCTCTGGGATGAGTTGATTGATGGATGAGTGTATCATCCACCCCTCCTAGCCGTAAAGTGGGCTTGAGAGTACCCCTAGACATCCTTAGAAACAGCGATGATGCATATATTTAGAGTAAGCGATGATATACATGTAGGTAATCTCAAACCCATTTTTGGGCTATATAATTTTATATAGTACTATATAGTACTATATAAACAGCAAAGATGTACTATGTACTATATAGTGCGATGATGTAATATAGATTTATAAAGTACATCATATAGTATATTATCGCACTATATAGTGCGGTAATAGCGATGATGTACTATGTATTATATACTACTGTATGTACTTTTTATGTGTATAGTACTATATGTTTTATATAGTATATAGTATGTGTATATAAAGCAAAATATATATATAATATATATATATAATGTACTATGTACAGTATAGCATGTACTTCTTACTATATAGTATGTACTATATATATATGTACTATATAGTACATATAGAAAGCAATGATGTACTATGTACTATATATTACTATATAGTACAGAACGTTACATAGCGATGATGTACTATGTACTATAAAATACTATATTACCATATAATGATGATGTACTATGTACTATATAATACTATAGTAGCGATGATGTACTATGTACTGTGTACTATATAATACAATATAGTGTTATATAGAAAGCGATGATGTACTACGTACAACACTACGTACAATATAGTACGATAGAAAGCGATGATGTACTACGTACTATATTGTACATAGTACATCATTGCTTTCTATATAGTACAATATAGTACGTAATACATCATCGCTTTCGTACAACACTACATACAATATAGTACTATATTGTACTATATTGTACGTAGTGTTGTACGTAGTACATCATCGCTTTCTATATGGTACATCATCGCTATTACCTGCATGTAACGTTCCTCTCTTGGTCGATTCTATTTTCTGTTAAGATCGTCGATACTCGTGGCCGAGAGCGAGACATATCGTGGGCTCAATAAGTCGCTTTTTGCGCAAATTAACGATGACAAGAAGAAACAAATGACATTACGTAAACGCGACATAAGCTGTATAATAGACCACGACGAACTAGTCCTCAAGCATTTAAAACTTCATAAATTTTGATTTTTTTCTTAACAAATGAGGATTACACTTTTTATAACTATTGTGCTTCGCTCCTGACGTAGTATGGATCATCTTGAAATTCCACAGAGCAGTATGGAAAATTTGGCGCGTCACTGTTGCGGCTGGGACTAAAAAGGTTTTGTCCTGAAGAAATCATGACGTAGATACCAGCAATGGAGCAAACGAGAGCAATTGTTACACACATGAACTTTTCCCATATCGGAATCTTGTTCCAAAAGATTTTCATGTAGAAAACAAGCGGTGCTAATAAACTGGATAGTGTAATAAATGAAGCACCAGTAAAGTCAACAAGATCGAGGAAATGGTCACGTAGCAAAAGGGAAGCAACGACCAACGTGATGATTAGTACAATTCGTAACCCAATATATCGCACAACATTGGCGCCACCTGTATACTCGGACATGTCTTCTTCTGCAACCATTCTATTATATCCAGACAAACGACTCGAGCGTGGACGACTGGAGCCTCGTTGACTTGATATTGGACGCTGTGAACCATGGTGTCGATTGCTTTCTAGATCGCCAGGAGTTGGTGCGTTAAGATACGACGACTTTTCTTCACCTTCGATGTGCAATGACTCGACCTTATGCATGCCCAAGATCATTCGTTCAAACATGTAAAACGCTGGATGAAGCATAGTTGTAAAGGCGACAGACAAATGCATTTGCATGAACAAGAATGCCATGACAATGGCACCACGATCTGCAACAAAGTGTAAAGCCGTAAAAGCGAGTGGATCCGACGTGTTGACAACTGAAAAGAGCAAATTCCCTGACATTTGACATCCACCCGAAACATATCCAGTAATAGCAACAGCAAAGAAGAAAGCTGAGGCAATTCCGAGACTGACGATGATGATCCGAGGCATGCGCTCAGGCTGTGAATGCTGACGTTGAAGATCTGGAATTACAGTCGCAGCAGCGTATGCGAGGGATAAATTACCAAATGTATTGATAACCTGATGGGTTGTCACGGCAGCAGGAGGCGGGGATGGATGTCCTTTCATTTCCGTTACTAGAATCGATAGTCCGATAATATCGGCGACGATCGTGCCAAGACAGCCAGCTATCGCCATTCCTGTGCTCTCTTTCATAGTCGGAATGAGAGCTACTGGAATAATTGTAGCAGCCATGAAAATAATCCATACTGACTGACTAAAGCAGTCTGGAAATAACACGTCGAGAAGAGTACTACCGAGAACAAGAAAAGCACAAGGGAGTAAGAGACACACACCCATTTGAGAGACAAGTACTACTAAACGGCCCCATGTACCCGCGACCCAATCTCCAAGGTCACTGTACGTCTTGACAGTCGAAGGTGCCACAAGAAAAACTTTAGATAACACCACTGATGCGTAAATATTAGCAAACGCCATGAATAGCAATGCAATCGTTGCAAAGACCCATCCAGCACGAGCAAAATTTGCTGGCATTCCTAGTGAACCAATTCCACAGACACAACAGAAGATATTTAACGCAGCCTTGGCATCTTCAGACGTAAAGAGTGCGGTTGAAGCTCGAGGGGGCATTAGGATTGATTGTTACCCCTTTCTATGGTAAATTTGTTAATGAGCTGTTGCGATTGAAACGGAACTGATCCTGTGCCTGCTGACACTTGAAGAAATGACAAGTTTCTTGCTTTTTCTCTCGACCTCCAATGTATTGAAGGTGATTCTTCCCATCCTCTTAGTATTTCATCAAGAAATCCGGTTTTCAATTATTGTTACAAACCATATTGAGCAAAATCCACCATTTATGCAGATAAGCAGATGTCGAATATAGTTAGAAAAGATTCACCGAGAAAGTTACGAGAATATTAGAATGACGAGTCTCTCGTCAGCATAAAGACACATTTAGCTGCACCGAAATACTACTGTCTAGGGTGGTTTAGATATCCCACTTGTCTTCCGAGGTTCCTTAAAATTATTCAACAGTCGGCAGGGAAGATGTAGACCAAAATGAAATCCACGTCTACCGTGGCTTCGGATACAGTACGATGTGATAGAGGATGAGCATGCTAGATCAAAGAGATTTGACATATCGGAAGGCATATGTACGACGAGTGAAAATTTCAGATTTTACATCCAGAAACATTATTTGATGACGTGAATGAGGTACAGGGTGAGGTCCACTTGTTTACAGAGGCATGCCGTCCATGAGTTCTTAGGTTACGATTTTACAAAGACAATTCGTCCTGCAGATTACAGAAATACAGAAGTAAACAAGTGGATGCCTTTGTGCTTGTGTGCGGCAATTTTCTACTTAAAACGAATAGTCAGCTTTTAGATGGATTGTTCAGATGTACTGATTCTTGTGTTATATAGATCCAGCATTCTTTCAAATCATCTTGTCAAACTTATCTGGCTCCATGTGGTCATCGTCTGCTGTATAAACTGATCTGACCAGCTTGCGCTCGAATTTTGTACAGCTTTTCACTCACTTAGTATCCAGCTCTTTATTTTCGCTCCGAATGTCTATTCTTATCTACTTCATCGAAATAGCGTGGTTTATACCATACCTTGTCCCTTATCGTTTGCTCAATCCTTCAGTTGCTTTTCAAGCAACGTGCACGTCACTTGGTAGATCCACGATAGTCAATGCCATCACACGACAACCAAATGCAGAAGTTTTGGTTACGTTGCCTGGGTGCTGAGATAGTTTTTATTCATTTCGATTTTATATTAAACTTAAGTCACAGGTGGCACCTGCCTCCTCCGTCTGTGGAAGTGATGAATTCTATATTCTATCGCTTCCTGTTGACACCGTTTGACGTCTGTTGTTCTACATTGTAATTTTTTTACAATTGTTCTAATGGCGATGGATGTCTACTTGATTTTTCTAAATTTCGTTATACTTGCACCCGATGATATGATGTATTGACACCTTGTAAACGTGCAATGATTTGGTCGGAGGTTTTGGATTGTCCAGAGCATCCGGCACTGGAAAACCTGTTGAACGCTGTCGTTTGTAGATTCTGCAATAAAATCAACAAATCGTGTAGAGAGGGGAGAAAGAAACGAGGGATTGAATAAAAATGCGAGCGCTTATTATCATTCCGACGTTTCATCGTAGATACCAGCAATTTCTATGCACCAGCATTGTACTTCGATCTTCGCACGAAGTAAAATACCTCTGAGAAACGACAGCTTGTGGATAGCTTTTGGATATTTCCTTCGTACATGAAAAGGCGCTTGGGTGTTTGTGAATTTTTGGCCAAACATATCTGATTTGAGCTTACAACTTGTCGATTGAGTTGACTTCCACCATTTCATAAGATATATGAGGCCGCTGACTTTAAGCACTGCGACAGGTATAGGTAGCTCTGCTGTATGAGTTAAGTGGTAACTCGACCACTTGTGGTGTTTCTGTCGTCGGTAAATGATTTGGTTTTCTTCAGGTACACTCAAACTTTGTCGCTCTTGAGCTTCAGCGAGCTGTCTGGCGAGATCAGTGCAGCACTTCTTGCTGCAAAGTACCCAATATTATTTTTTATGACTAAAGCTTGGAGAGATACGAACAGTTGTGAAGTAAACGTACAGGTACTCGATCAGCTCAAGACGTTGTACGTTCGATAAACCGATATCGAAGTACATTCTATAGTTTCCACCGTATCGTTCAACAAAAATTGACGTTTATAAATTTGTCACTTGCGTTGGACGCCAGAACGAGTTTGATCAAATAGAGCGACATCCCTCATTCATCATGCACAAAAAACAGAAGCCAAACGAAACAACGAAGTGTGTTTACACATATGACGGTGAATACGCTTCCAGTGAGCTCTCTGACAATCACGCGAGCAATATTCAACCATTTTGCACGCACTACAAGCCAAAAGCCTTTTATTGAAATACGGCGGATTGCCACAGCCAGCGCAAAGTGTTTTATCCTTCATGTAACGCAAATGAGACATCTCAAAGTTTAAAGCCTGAGTAGAGCACTTGAGGACGTACACAACTACATCTTGTCCATAGACTTCTCCCTTCATCGGTATAGCGAGCGTCCGTCGATCAATTGACTCCAGTGATGGTGGACGACACCAAAACACAATCAACGAATCGTCCACCTCGGCTCCTTCAATGGCTTTTATGACGTGACAACAAGCGCTCGATTTGGGTGAACAGTGACTCATGCGCAAAGTCCACTTATGACCTATAATTGCTCTCAGTGAAAATACCGTGCTGTTTTTCTTTCCTTCTGTTATTTTAAGGATGCTGGCCAAAAGGTGAAATTTTGACACTGTAAGCTGTTGCAGGTCATTGCTTTGGCTGCATTCAGCACACATCGCTGTGTCGACTTGAGATGCAGTATCCGCCTGAATACAATTCTTGCTTTTATTCTTTTTCTTGCCGTCGCTAACGCCACTATGTCGTGGTTGTCGATGCGCTTGCAGCAAATCAAAGACAAGGTGTTCATCGCAGTCTCGACATGAAACGATCCGCCGCGGACACTTGGCTAATTTGTGGCCAAGCAATTGCGTCGGCTTAATCGAGGTCTTGCAAAACCCGCACTCGAGCATATTCTGCGCCATGACACTTGCAATCACGGAAGACTCCATGTAACCGCTCTTCTTCATGCCGAATCGCAGTGTGTCTTTAGGAGTTTCGATCAACACTCGAGGATAGAAAGCAGGAAAGCGTATAGTTACCGACTCTGCTATTTTTCCTAATTCATGATAAACAACTGCCATAGCATTGTCGGACTTATTTAAGTATAATGCGCCGATCGAATAGTACGCGTCCGGTATAAATCGCTCGTCCGGAGCGTTTGTGTTGACGTACTCTTTGTACACAGACAGCGCAAGATCTAGCATTCCACAACCAATCATTGAGAAAGCACACCAGAAAAGCCAATCTGGTTTCTTGTCTATTGCCAATGCTGCTTCCATCGAATCAATAGCATCTTCAAAGCGTCGGAACGTCAGATAAGCCATACCCAGATAGAAGTGAAACGAAGCTTCATTTGGATGTAACTTCACGCATCGCTTCCAGTGTGATAATGTGTCTTGATCATTCAGCGTTCCCCAACGGCCAATTGCATAAGCTGCGTCGATATCTCTTGGATTAATACGAAAACTCACAGCGGCTTCCTTTACTAGTTTTGACAGGAACTGGGTCGTAATCACTATATTTTTCGATCGTTCCCAGAGTAGATCAGCCTTCTTTAGATCACGTAAAGCGCCTTTGACATCTCCATTTCCAAGCAGCACTTCAGCGTTATGAAAAAGTTTCTCTGACACGACATAGTTACATGCTGTGATGCCTCCATTTTTCGCACGAGCTTGAATCTCAGCTACAATGACAGTAGACGGCGGTCTGCATATGTTATGATTCGTAGAAGACGCGGGATTTGCGGTGTACGAATCCATCATCATTATACGAGCCTTTTCGTCATCCGTATGAACGCTGACGTCGACAGCGGTCTTTGCATCATTTTTATCCTCCAAATACGCGTCGTAAAATTCCTTAAATACGTGCTTACCACGCTGCGAAGTAGTCAAACTGCTTGCAGACATGTCGGCTATCACTCCATCCTCAAACGCCGTGGCGCCTAACTTGTCAAAGTCAGGACTCATTAACAAATTTGCGAGAAGGTTTTGATCAGCTGTAAGAGCAGATTTGCGAACTTGACTCTCATCGCCTTTTCCACCGTGTCCCTGTTTTAAAAGTTGCGCGAGTAGCTGCTGCGCTTCGGGTAGTCCATGCTGTGCTGCGCGTGACGTCCATAAGCGTGCTGCAAAGGCATCAACAGGTATTCCTTTGCCAGTGGAGTAAGCAATCGCAACATTATATTGACCTACAGGGTAGTCGTGCTCTGCTGACCTTAAAAAAAATACAAAAGCTTTTTCCAGATTCGCTTTCACGTTTGTAGCTGAAATTCCGTCACGGTGGCAAACACCAAGTTCATTCTCAGCTTCCGCAACGCCTTGATGCGGAAACACGCGACGCCCTGGAGGTTTGATGAATGGACGCAGCGATGCGGCTCGCTGAAAGCACTCTATCATTTTGTGAGGATCGGGCGTCAAGGGCAAACCTTCTCGTACACGGCTGCTGTACAATACACCAAGACGATACCAAGCCTCAGCAACACCGGCTTCTCCAGCTTTTCGAAGGTTCACAATCCCTTCTTGTACCCACAAATTTAGCGGCAAATTCGATCGACCAGACATTCCGATACTGTCTGTGACCCGGAGAAGGGCATCGGCTGCCACAACGAGACTGGTCAAGCCTTGCTTGTACACGTCAAATTTTTGAGTGCCACGCGTATGTACCTCTATCCAATTTGCGGGCACCGCCTGGTAATTGATCATTGCTACTAACTCAATCTTAGCATTTGGAGATTCATAACCTTTCTTCTTCCTACTCGCCTTATCTTTGATTGATACCTCTTCTCGATCGCATTTTGCTGCTGCAATCGCTGCTTCCACTTTGGCTCTTTCATCCCGCTCCATTTTTTTCTTTTCTTTCTCGTAAGCCACTTTTTCCTCATTGATTTTTGTCTCAAGAGTGCGTCGTCTACTGCGTAAAATTGCATCGTTTGGCTCTAGCTCCAATCCTCGATCACAAATGTCTTTTGCTTCCTCATATTCCTTCATCGCCAGCATTGTTTCAGATAATAATCGATAATACTTGACGTTTTTATAATCATCTGCATCCAAAGCATTCTCAGCGTCTTCCCGCGCGTGTCGAAACATCTGCAGGCGCAAAAAACACGTGGCTCGATTACCATACAATACTGCTTTATTTGGAGCCACTTGAAGGCCCTGAGAGTACGCTTCAATGGCTTCTGTATAATTTCCCTCATTAAAATAGTCGTTGCCAATTAGCTTAAAGTCCATCCACAAAGAATCATATTTATCATCATAAAGATAATTATGCTGTAAAATCTGATCCAAAGACGCTGTAGGAGGCATCACAACTGAATCTTGCGTTAGATCTTGACGTCTTGCCTCAATATTTTCGACCGCTTTCGTATTAATTTGTGCCTCGGCCGCTTGTTTCTTTAAAGGTGAAGATGGCAGCAATTTCATCACGAGCTCGTTAATTTGTTGGCGGATGCTTGAGTTGCACTCGATCATATCAGCAAGTTTCTCAAATGTAGCAATAGCAGCCTCATACTGAGCTAAAGTCATATGACTTTGGTGGGATACTTTGTTTCGGTACGTGAGTGCGCGCTGTACCACGCCTGGTAACTCTGGGTTGATTCCAAAAAACTTCAAATGGCTGTGCCAATGCTGACGAAGATACTTGAGCTGAAACGATATGTCAGTCTGTTGTTCTGGACTCAAATTCGTGAGATCAGGAGTGTTAGTCACTCGTTGAAAAGATTGCCTCGCATCGCTTTGGGCTACGCGCTCCTTTTGAAAAGCCACGAACTTAGCAAGCTCGGGATGTATCATATTCATGACTGCCTGTAGACAACCAGCCGCGATAGCGCTGCTCGCCAGCGTCTCAATTGACGCATCCATCTAATTGCGCAATTCAACCGAATATTTTAAGATTGCCATTTTGTTAATTGGCTATTATTTTTGATTAGTTGCAGATCAAATTATTACTGTTTTGTCCGCATCGTAAGTACGATTATTACACACCATTTATGCGTGATTTACTGCTTACTTGAAATCCGGATGTCGAGTATGATTTTAGACAGCCTATTTAGTAGCAGTATCGCTTGATGCATTGATGCCTTATTTTTCCAGATTATTACTCGGATTGAAGGGAAGAGGAAAATCAAAAAGTGTTTTCTCTGTCAAAGCATAGACTGTTTTTTCTACTTAGGTCATATAATCATTCAGTACACCCAGTTCCCAACGCTCTGTACTTGTACTCGTATTGAAGTCACGTGTTGGACCAATACCACTAAACAGTTCATACGTCGTCTGGAACTGGTACGCCTTGAGGCGTCTCCCTAACGTGTCAATCCAGGGCACTATTGTAAGGACCATTTGACATGAGCCCGGAAATGTTTAATTTAGCGACACCACTAGTTTCCACCAGCTTGACTTCATCACCCTTGACCTCATTGATGCCTATGGGCGCGGCGCAACTGCGCTCTCGCAATTCACAGGTCATCGCTTTCCAGGAGTACCGTTTGCGCTGAGAGCAACAGGATTGGGGAACCTTGCTCCCTTCGAAAGGCATGCACCCTATGGCAAGAGTACTGAAGACTATCAGGCTTGATATGCGCCTGGGCGAGGGAACATGACGTCTACCCTTCTGAACGCCTTACAAGCCGGCTTCAGCAAAGCAGGCACTCGTCTAGTGTGATACATTACGCCCGACTTCACGAAGTGCAAAGCTCGATGCAGATTTCGAGATGATATGCCACCACCTCCAGATCCCGCTGTTTACGGCAATGCTCTCAATGAAACAACTGATACAGCTACCGACCAGCCTTCAACTCACTGCAAGGTTTCCCACCCACCGTGGAGCGTGCTGCGTCGGGTGACCTTGCCTCTTCTACGAAAATTTAAGGCCAAGCGTGCTTCATGTCGCAGGCAGCCAAGGCAACAAAGCAATCATGCCATGGTGGGTCATGAGATGCTAGCTTCGCCTCTGGTGTACTTGCCGACCCACCAATGTTCCGCGTCAAAGTGAACACCCCTTACGCGTTGAGCAGTGCCGGCAGAGGTATACCCCTCTGCGAGTGGCGCTTGTGCCGCACGTCAATCCAAGTCAGTTGTATTATATAAGCAGTAAACCGTATATGATTATTTTTAGCTCAAGTTAGCAGTTATCTATACATATATAAAAAATTCGAACTGCTTCGTAACCAGGCGTCTGATAACGAACCAGACTTTCGGTTCCATTTCTGGTAGGAGCACATAGACGACGTAACTATTAGCGCTCTGAGGCAGAGCTTCCGCGGCGCAAAGAGTACGGCGAGTCCGTTGCACCTGGAAGCACTTGTGGTCAGCCTCAAGACAGGGTCGTGAAAGAATATTATCTTTGCGAGGATGGAATATGAAATTCTTGAGAGCTTATTTTGAGGACATAGACTATCTCAATAGGCTTATGGCGATCACTGATACCGACGAGATTAGAAAAGTGATGATAATTGGGTCGAGGCGATAAACACTCTTCTGGTATAAGCGCGTACCAGCTTTGAAAATGCGCTGGTGAGACATCACAAGCGTGCGTCAGCAGGAGAACAGATAGTCGCAGCCGCGAGGCAGTCGATGTTGAGCGATCAGAACCTTTAGTGCTGGGGCGACGAAGATGTCACCCAGCTGAGATGACCGTGAATCTGATCTTGCACCAAACGGAGCGGTAGCATTTTACGCTCGTGGCCACTGCACTAGGAAGCTGTGTGTGTGAGAATGGGCAATATCGTCTAATTCTTTCGGTGTTCTCAATATCCTAATAGATTCAGGCTAGCGTGTACCTCGGAGCTCTCCTTTTCGAAGTCTCATCATCTGCATTAAGACCAATACTTCTATCTTTATCAAAGTGTATTACAAATTTCTTACTATCGCAGAGTACTGCATTCAGTACAACTGTACCACATATATCAGTGTTAAGTTCTTAAGATTACATTACTTACCCTGGTCCAAACACTAGCTGGTCCAGTGGGCATGCTTAACGCAATGATGATGTGAAACGTCGCATACTTTGTCACAGTGCCTGCCTTGTACTACCTAATCAGTTCATCTACTTTGCGCTTAATTTCGGACACGAGCTTGACACCGATGACTTATCGACCGTTTGATGACTTGGTCGATCAAAACACACCACAAAGTCACAACGGTTATATCTTCGCACAAAGAAAAATATATATGCATATACTTGATCACGCATTCTAAATCAGCATTGGCAACTCCTGCCAGGATTCAAGAGGAGTTGAGCTATCATCTACTTCACCGCATGCAACTTCTATTCCCACTTCAGTCGCACCTGAGTCATTTCGAGCACCGGGCCGCCGCGCATTTTGAAGTTTTTTTTGTAATTGTATTTTTGAACTCTCTAAACTGTCAGCTTGTCGTGCTGCGCGCAATTGCTTAGTCGTGGTATTTGTGCTCTGAGCCCTTGTACATCACCTACAGATTTTTTTTCATTGAACGTTGCTTTAAAATTGGTTTCATGCGAAAAATCTGATTAGCCGGTGCAAAGTCTCGCGACATCTATTGCAAAAGAAGTACTAGTGTAGAGAATGCATTTCGAGGTACCATACGCTTGTGCCCATTTGTGAGCGGAATTTCATGGCTTTCCATCTATTTAAACGAGAAAAGACAAAACGGCCTTGACTTCGGCCAGATTTTAAGCGAAGCAACCACAAATCATGTTAGCATTCTTCAAGTTCGTGACAACGGACACTAAGGCTCAATATCTCTGTGAAAGAAATGTTACTATTATAGCGATATTCAAAGCAGCATATATATGTCGCAGGTATTCGAGCGCTTGATGGGGTGTACAGTGTTAGTTCGAAGTTCCTTTTTCTAGTCAAAAGAAGCGGTAACTGGCAAACTATGACCAGGAGTAAAAAACGCTTATTGCCGCATTGGCGTCAAACTCTACCTCGGATGCGGTAGCGGTGCCATCTCCTCATGGAGGGACAAGGCTTACAACGAGAACGTCTGCATTAACCCTAACTCTTTCAAGAAAACGGATAGCGTCATAATGAATGCGAAGGACCATTATCTTGCTGCAAGGGCCTGATGTCACCACCACGAAGTGGCTCTAAAATTGGTAAGGTGGGTCGGGGCTGACGATACCATTTGACTCTCTAATATCCACCCTGCTAAATTTCACAGAACTTTCGTAAATTCAGCTTTGATGAAATTTAACGCAATATGCCGAGTGAGCGACGCTATCGATGAGAGACAGGATGCTCAAAAAGTACACAACGGTGCCAGTGGCAGGCGAAATACACATGATTATGTTATGAAGGAGAAGGTTCGTTGATTCGTTGACTGTAGTTATTGTTCCTCAATATATCTATTATTAACCGAAGTCGCAAAGACATCAAGCTTTTATAGTCGTAGCAATAGCTGTAAGGTTATATTCTTAGCATTTGACAAAAATGCGAGCACATGCTATATACGTACCGAATCCATACCTCGCTCTTGCTTTTAATGATCCAGTCATTTGCGAAGCGCTTAGTTGAAGGTAAAACATTGTCTTTACCACCACCTGTAGTTAAGTAACCCTTGGCTCTAGTCAAGAGGCTGATTTTGATTTTCTGATAGTGTCTGAAGCCATGCGGTGCGATAGCATAGCTTACAGAGCGCACTCGCAATGTGTCCTATTTCTTGTCTGCACGCACGGCAAGACTCCCGAGGAGAGGAAACACGCCGTCTCAACCAAGAGGGTCCAATAGAACTAGCCGTGAATGGCGTCCCCCGCTGGCCCTTCTCGATAAGCAAGAGATAGCCAAGACTCACGTGGAACGTTTGGTAAGCCAGCGAATGCACCGTATGCAACATATTGTTACCAATATCTGGTAGAGAGAAAGTGATGCCTTTTCTTAAGAAACATTTTATAGTTTGAGGCTATACTTCGGCAAGATTGCCCTCGCGTCTTCGCCGCCTTCGACCTTGTGCTCGATCATTTGTTCTTCCCCGCGGAGAAGGTATAGGGTTGTATATCGCAGCACGCTTCCCACGAGCAAGTGAGTCTGAAATTGTCGAGGCTTCAGGTCCTGTACCTTTCTACCCATGACTCAGGGTTGCCCTTTAACTCCACAAGCTTTGTCACGAGAGATTGCGACACCTGATCGCTTCGACGCTCTACCGGCCCTGGCACAAGAGACACCGGCCAGGTTACACCTGTAATATTACCGTCCGATAGATACACTCTGGGAGCACTATATACAGTCGTCTTATCCCGCCTCAACAGAAATACTCACGGAACACCGCAACAAACAATATATCTTTCCGTCTCACCATGAGACTAATGCCGCTTCTACCTTTCAAGCTCTGCTCGAGACTTAGCAAACAGATTGTCATCAATTTTACATAAGTCCATGCTTTGCATGGAAGGTGACTCTGCTTCGTACCCGCGTCAAAGGGACTTATGTTTCCTGTATTAGGTGGTCGTGACTTGTTAATTTTTTTGCCAGGAGAGAGGTGCGTAGAACCCTTCTCTTCCGAACGACCCATGACTCGTGGCTGATTGCAATGGTTAGGAATCATGTTGCTTCTTTTGAAACGATCAGTCGAAATTTCTTTTGAGTGGCGTTCAATTGAAAACAAGTGAAGCCTAATTTGCTGTCTTTGCAAATGAACGTAGCATGTACAAATCGATTAGCCAATATCCATATCTAAAAGCTAATCGTTACGATAGTTTCACCCCTGTAGCCACGCCACTTCTCCTTAGATACAATCAGCGGTGTCATTTCAACACTACACCTCACCATTGACGCACAAGTGACTTTACCTGAATTCGAATCATTTGGTCGTGATCCCGTTGCTTTTTGCGGATATGATTGAGCATCTTGGTCCAAAGTGGTTACGTAAGCGTGTCAGCAAGCTGAATATTCGTGTCAATGTAGAACGACCTGCCGTATAAAATTTTTAAAATGTTTTGTCTTAATCGTGGTGGCCAGCTTTACTCGCCGAAGCCACAGCACTTGAGATGTCTCCATACCTCAACCTTTCTTGTGTTAGTATCTTTAACCATCGCATGTACACAAGCTATTAGTCATATATTTGGCTTTTTCCGATCTCAAAGCGACTCTGTGGTACTTAAACGTGAACTCAACCTCAGCACTACCTATCTTGTCTAACACGCCTATCTGTAGTCAGTATTAATACTTCAGTCTGCATCGAGAAAGATTTCAGTGAGAACTTTTCCACTTTGGCGTTTTGTTGGTTCTCAGAAAAACAGAAGAGTGACGGCTGATGCAATGTTCGAGCAATTGTGTGTTATCGGATCTCCAGACGGAGAGCTATTCCCATTTTCAGAGATTTTCCGCAGTTGGTGACTGTGATGTCAATAGATTAAGACCGGAAGCCCAAAATTATCGGCAGCCTTGGTATTTTCAAGGCCGAATCGCGCAATCACATTGCTATTTTCTACTGGATCATTGGAGTTTCTTTCGTGATCAATCTCCAAAATCACGATAAATAAGCCACAATGAAATTCGATTGGTGCTCTTTATTATGCCCTTCAATTTCAAAATTTCGCTGCTTTCGTCTGCAATGATCATATCTTTGAGATATCGGGATATGATTTCATAAAGAAATCACCAATTGTCCATGTATTCGCAACTTGCTTGAGTCCACAGATGGCCTATTCTGTTGGCATGCAAAGCTTGAGTACCCTATGCACCAATCACCACGCAGGTTCTATCTGACACCACGCTGTTAAATAAGGCAATATCAACATCCAGCTGCTCCAACTTTATGCGTGACATGTCCAACTTTCACATCTTTGCAGTCAATCGCGTCTTGTGATGCTCCACATTGTCATTCTGGCCATAACGAAAGCTCACAGATCCTTTAGCCAAGAGTGTCACTGTTCGATTTGCTCACGTAATTAAAGTTCGGCGTTCGTCACTTCGGGTCATCATTCTGCCTCGTCATCAGTCACTGTGTTTACATGTTCGGCAAGTCGATTCTTCATCAATATTGATAGTGTAGATGAGAGCGGTTCCGGCAAAATATGTCGTTCTCTTCGATTCTTGAACGCTTTGGAAATTGTTAGCGTCACTCCTATCATAATCTCATCAACAGCTGATACTTTCTCCAGTATTAAAACGGTTTCACGGTCTCTTTCTAATCTGTTGTACTCCCCCAATGGCACGCATACATCCCGGTCTTTGCTTGAATATAAGCGATATTTTTCGCAGCATTTTTTCTCGACACCACCACTTGCTCAAATCCCGTGTCCTGTGCTTAAAGGCGACCTACTACTTGTTTAGGCTTTCATTTCAAACAAAAAATGCTTTCGTTAGTGTAGCCATCTTATCGGACAGCGAAGTTTATTTGAATTCTCCAATTCAATGTGGTATCCTCTCAGATTACTTCTGTTCATGCACATTTGGCAAACATATAAGCATGCAGTAGCACCGGGAGTTATTTTTACATTCTGATGGACTTAGTTCGTTTGTTAAAGTCGTAAGTAATCACAATGATTGATGTACAGATGTATACCGTTCACATCACGGTCTGACTACAGTGGGTATTCAAAGTCTGATTTTGCAGCTTAAAAAGTTACATGCGTAGCTCAGCATTGATCGAATATTATATATTTGCCAAAGACGATGGAAGGTTCCAAGAGCGATTTAGCGGCAATTTAACGGCTTTAAGAACGGCGAGTGATACGCAAACAACGGATTTCGGACATTTACTTGATGCTACTCAATGAGCCCGTGCGATCTCACTTTTTGACCGGCACCATAGTACCGTTTAAAGCCAACAGACGTCAGCCATGAGAAGCCACAGAATAATTTGGACGGGTATGATTGAAGTTCTCGTGTTTTGTAATCACTCGTCTCAACGGTCGTGAGGCAATCGAAACGGATCGGTCATAGTCGACTTAATCATACAATAAGGTTGAACTTGTTTTCAAGGTTTTCATTTCATGTCGTTTCAAGATATTACAAAGCAGTCTGTGGTCATGGTCTACCTGTTGGGACGCACCACACGAAACTTCCCATCACTACTCTCAAGTCCGAACAATTTGATGAGGTACAACAAGTTCCTCACATTTGAACTCATCGTCTTGCTACATCTACTATATCGATATATAGGCAACACGAAGAGTTAACTGAACACAAATGATGGCTCCCGAGGGCTCTTCGTTCATGCATAAATCATCTAGCCCTGCTCCGATTCTCCTGTCCCCGATCTCAGTCGCTCATCGGGTACGCTTGCTATCATCCAAATTGAAGCTGCATCAGAGTTATAATACTGATAAGAGCTGCAGAGTCAGATGATTGAAGCCGATGAAGCATCGTCTATTCGTGATAAATGGATGGCAAATTTGCAAAAGAAGCGATCAGCTGCAGCAGAAGGCACAGGTGCACCAATTGGCAATGGCAATCGTTCAGCTTCAGGGTCGCAGACAAACTACAGATCTCACCCTAATAGCAGAAACATTTCAGCAAAGAAAAGTAGTCGAAGTCGCAGTGCCGCGTCACGTGCTGTCAAGAATAGAAATGCAGCACAACTTGCTTATGAAAAGAGTTTGCTTGCTCATCGAGCCCATTTGTTCAATCAAGACCAATTGTCGTCTATGTCTTCTAGTTTGATTGTTGATAGTCAAGTTGCTATGAACGAGTTTGATGTACAAGCAAATGGACAGCCCTCAATGCTGTTCAATGAGTCGAATTATTTCGATCACGAATCACCTTCGTTTTCGCAGTTTATCTCATCGTCGTTTGACGATGATTCTCCACTTGCTTTTTCTGACTCTGCTATTAAAGAAAATAGCAGGTCGAAACGAACGACAAAAGCAAGTTCTAAGAAGCGTCCAACATATTCATTAGCAGTAGAGGTGGACCCAGCTAAGCCACGGACCCCTCGCCGCAAATTGAATAGTGGCTCGACCCCGATTGATGATTTTGATCTCAATTATTGCATTCCGACGGAATTTCCGGGGGTTGGGACACCATCGAATTTTCGATTTGATCCTTCCAGTATGCGGCATCTTTGGGGTCACGATTTGGATATATCTAATGGTGGAGGGTACGCAGACAGTTTTCTGGATATACCAACTCCACGGCTAGCAGAAATCCCGCTTGTTCCTACTTCAAATCAAACAACTCATAGTATTGGTGGCGTCAGCTCACACCCAATTGACAATCAAAATGAGGTGCATGAACACCCTCGACTCATACGCACAAATAGCATTGAACAAGAAGGTTTGAGTCATTTTTTAGAACAAACAAACTTGGATGGTGGTACTCATGGCGACGAATTATACCACTTAGCAACAACTACTTTACTAAGCGCTCGAAAGTCACCCTTTTCTGGCGGGTCATTTTTTAACGGAAGTGTTACACCGCGTTCAGCAGCTGCAGCGGTGGATGAATGTTTTAGTAAAACAAATTTTACTTCGTCATGGCCAAGACCACCATCTCCTTTGGGTCCACCGTCCTGCTCTCAAACTCGTTGCATGGACCCTCGGGATCTGAAGCTCGCTCCAGAGTTTGAAACACTAAGAGACGAGTACAGATTTACAGACATTGATCACGAACTCGACAGCTTTTATTTAGACACGATAGATACTATCGGGAACGATTTAAATCTCTTATCCAAATGAAGGTGAAGTCGGTTAAGTATCAAATGACGTCGCTTCTCGAATATAATTATGAAAATAGAGCGAGAAAATGCTAGGACAATCAGCTTGAATTCATATTGGTAGTCAAAAAAAGTCTTTGTAGTCTACGACATAACTCGCTGGTGCAATGAATGGCCGCGGTGGTTGAAGACGTGAAAGTCAGGGTTTGAAATGACGGTAGCCAACGACCTAGATCAGATATTTTTAGCTCAGTTTCTGATGCTAATTAAACCCAATTTAATGAAAACAATAGACTGCCATACCTCGAATGCATCGCGTCATTCGATCGGATAGGCAAAATCTCGCCACATGTGAGCAGAACTCCTACTAGCGAAATGAAAAAGGCTACCACGAGTTCTACCACAACCTTGAAAACCATGCTGTAAGAAATGATAACATTGTGTTGAAAGTTACCCAAATTTACCTCAGTGGGTGGCATTTGGGCGTCCGCCGTCTCGGTCAGCTTGACATACGACTCGTCTATTAATCACGTCATCATTACGGCGTTAAACTCAAAGTAAGTGGCTGTAACATCAACGTGAAGTACTGAGCGTACATTGCACCGAATAGTACCCAGCATGTATCAATAACAACGTCCCCGCCGCGATCAATAGCTTGCCGAAAAACGCCATTAGATGAAAAGTATTAAAGTTAAGCTATTTGTATCAGATATTAATAATAATCCTTTAAGCGTATATTTCTGCCCATTTTGATCAGTTTCGTTGCTCGATGATGTTCTGGGGTCGAGGCAGCAATTCCTCCACAACGTTCAACACAGAGCACACCACATTGTCACGCCAGTCAGCTCAAAATGAACACATTCCGGTGAATTCAACCATACCAGTTGCTCCGTCGTACGTGCTCTCTGACCAACGTCGCAATGAGTTGTTGACGGCTGCACGAACAAATCGCATGACTTGGGTCGACGGCGTGGATCAGCGCACAATTGACGTTAAAATTCCTAGTACTTTATCGTCTTTGACCATTCCAAGCCACTGTCACGATGCTTTAAAAGGAATTAACGAAGAAATGACCAAGCTTTTCACAAGCTTAGACGACTTAAAGCACAAAATTCTGCCAAACGATCTCCAGTTATCTGAGGATGCTCAATCAGATTCGAATACACAGAGTTATAAGCGATACCGAACATTATTTCAAGAATTACGCGAGCACGAAACATTACTTGATCAATGGCAGCGCTCGCACAGTCCGCGAACTAAATTGCTTACGGGTCATGATCGAGAAATGGCATTTTTGGCTGGTTTTCGAGAGCTTGTGACGGTGCTAAAGAGTGCTCAAGCGGCAGAATTAGTTTACCGCATTCAGTCATTTGTGAAGCGAGCAGAGTTGTGGGATCTGCAGTCTATGCTCCGAGCAGTTTCTACAAGAGATCGACCTGGAGGAAAGGTACAAGACTTTATCAAAAACTTGATTGAGCAGATCAAGCACAGCCAAAAGCTCCGAGTTTTGATTCAAGGAGATGACGAAAAGCTAAAAAAGCATGGAACGTTTCTTCATGTACGAGATTCGAATGGAGAAGATCTATTGCATGAAGTGTTAGAGGCTTTTTTGATGGAAAAATTGTATACGAAGACTTTGAGCCCGTCAAAGGAAGTGGTTGAACAAGACAAAGCCTTTCATGAACGTGTCAGTTTGTTGGGTTTCGTTACGTATAAGCATCTGGATTTACCTGTACCAACTACCGAAGAACACGAGCTGACGTGGTCACGGCTAGCAAAGCAACTTGAAGCCATGACGTTGTGTCCAAGTCCTCGTCGCAAGATAGATGGCGTGCTTCAAATCTGTCAAGACCTGACTACATTTTTAAAAGCGCAAAATGGTGGAAGGTTTCCATCAGCCGACGAATTTCTGCCAGCAATGATATATGTTGTATTGCGTGCCAATCCGTGCGAACTGAAGCGTAATGTGGCTTTTATATTAGAATATCGAAATCCGGCAAAGCTGGTATCGGAGCCTGGATACTTTTTCACACATTTAGTCTCGAGTGTAGCTTTTCTAGAAGAAGTCGATGGTTCATGCCTTACCATTTCGTCGGATGAGTTTGATGAAGAATTACGTCGAAGCAAAGAAAGTGTACGATTGCGAAAATTTTGTCAGAAAATAAAGGATGAGGAGAGTATAGAGAGTGGCAGCAAAAGTGATACTTCTAACGCCTCGATTAAGGAAAGTCAAGTACTCAGTCACCCTTCCAATCATACAGGAGAAGGTGACGAATTTAGATTGCCAACGGTTCTTGAAATTCGTGCGAGGCGCATGAATTTGTAATTTCATAGAATAATAAATATACGTCAACATATAGCTAGGCTTATGCCGCACATAATCTAATTATTCACATTGTTATATAATGAGGTATTTAATGAATGTTTGACTATCCGTTGAGAATGAAGCTTAAACAAATGTGGTGTTTTGGCGGGTATGTTTCTTTGAAAATGCGTAACGTGGTACACACTGTGTTACACGTGGGCTGCGTAAAATAATAAAAAATAATTTCATTATGAGTTATCGTGAACGCATTGTGTTTTATATCCCGAGATATGCGTCACTCTTAAAGCAGAACAAGCTAGGTAACTAGTTACAAAAGAGGCGTTCGGTTTTGCTCATGGGGTTGGAATGTACGAAATTAGCCTCTGTGTGCAAATTAACGTGAACGAGGCTTTTCTGTTTGGAAATTGCACACCCAATGCGCTTGTAGCCGACCCCACGACCGAGCCGTGAATGGACCGTATCCTCTGTGATTATGAAACGAGAGATAGTTTAATCCTGTCCCCAGACAATTAGACTGACTTTAAGTTTTATGTCGATTGTCGGCCCAGATGGGGTCAGCAAATCAGTGGCCGAGCCGTCAGATGTGATAATTGCTCGCCTGAAGGCGGTAATTGGTTATGAAAATGCGCTGGTAAGACATCTTGAGAAGTGTCTTGGCCAGACGTTTGTGAGAGCATATCCGACACTAATAGGGCTGTTGTAGTAAACGTCTGCCCTTTGAGGGCAGAGAAGAATAAAGTCTCTTCCAATATAAAGATACTAAAATGACCAAAAGTTTCGCACTTTTCCGGACGGAGAAACAGAATTGAAGGAGTCGTCTCAAAGCAAGAAGGCTGCTTGCAAGAGTGCGCCCTTGCGTGTGGCACCTTAGAAAACGCAATGCTCCTATTCTGAAGGCTGTGCAGGTGGCAGGTATCGCGCGTATTCGCATCGCTTAATCAGGCTTACCGCGTGCATTTGAAAAACTTATTCGACCGTCAAAAAAGGAGAGATTAAGCAAACTTTGTTCAGGAGCTAAACAATCTAAGAGCCGAAATGGTGGCGCCTCTCTCATAGACGATGTAGTGTGTACCATATCCACAGAAGGTTTTCAGACGCGACTTGCACTAAGACCTTTTGCGTCTTCCTAGCCTAATTCAAAGAAGGAACCGCCAGGTGTCTTGTTAAAGTCAGTTATAACTTTTAAACGGTGAGTGCCGATGAAGCACGAGGATGGACGTGCTATGTGCCACGCTGGAGAAGATAGCAAGCTGAACATGATGTGATTGATCTTCTGACTGAGCAGCATATCAAAAACTCCAGATGTGAAATCGCTACGCCATGCGATCCCCCTTCGAATGGTTCAAACCAAGGATCAAGGTCCCGCCTAGGGTTGAAAAACAAACCCCTTTCGAGAAGTTCCGAGACTCACTTGGGGCAGCGTGGCCTACTGGTTAGAAGCAAATATCTGTTATGCCTTGTAGGGACCTTCAGAAACAGGACCTAGCACTTAGCGAAACAATTTTCTCCAAGAGAAGTCGTGATGGGGCCACTTTATAAGTTGTTGAGGGTTCTCTGGGTCTTTCTTGCACAGTTCGAGAACTTTAGCTGCCTAGAATGCTATTTGATTGTATTTAGCTTCAAAATCTTATTTATCTTAGATATAGGCTGACTTGAACGTCATGAGTCATGTCACTGACGTTAGTACCATCGTGCTAAGTTTCACAAAGATCATTCGGCATTCTTACCGGAGGTATTGCTAGGAAGATTCTATGCCACCAAAGCATGTGACCTTTTATCATTGACAAGCTCCAGACGCACACACTCTAGTGCTTACTCATTCGCACATCTTGGGTACCAGTACATAACCCTCACTGACCTGTACCGCTTTTTCTTATCGAGATCCTTTTCAGAGAATTTCATGTGCCCCATTAAAATTTCTGTACCTGAGATAGGTACTACAAAATGATGTTTGTCATTGCTGCATAACAGCAAAGATTGGTACACGGAATAGCCGTAACAATGCGCTTAGATAAAGCGACTTTCAGGCTCATAAATTCGTGACTTTCTCAAAGCTTTAGCGAATGCTGTACCTGGTTCGTATAGCATTCGTGTAGCAGTTTTTGTGCGTGGTGCCGCCATTGCGCCGTGCGATAATCCGTATTATAGGCGGCGCGAAAGCGAACTTAAATAAAGCCGAGTAGGCTTGTAACATATCCTAAGGGTATACCCGGTACAGGATTATCATTTTATCTTTCACAAGAGGTGTGGCGACAACGTCGCCGTGTGTAATGACGCATGATATATTAATCCCAAATGACATTAAATCGATCAAGATTCCAAAAAACGGCACATACTGCACGACAAATAGCCCCTTATAAGCCGCTCTAAGCTGGTAAATTTAAGTGCATTGATGTATTGAGGCAGACTACTACCAGCTAGAAGTATAGCATCGACAATGGCCGTCTTATATTGGGAGAGCAAAGTAGCAATATATATGATGGTTTCGCTAACAGTCTGGTAGGCCGTATCTTCTATGACATTTTCATAAATTAATGGGAAGCTTGCCACATTGACATAATGTGCGCTGAACTTGTGCCTGTAGATGGTCAGGCTAAGCCATTTTTGTGGATTTCGTCGGATTAATGGTGCTATGATCTTGTCCTTCGCGAAATATGTCCGAAAACCATGAATTGGACTATTTCAGCGCCGAAGGCAAATTTGCCAAAATTGTTCATTGCTAATATACCCGCATTGAATCGAGCACAGCTCGCTAGTGCTCAATATGGATGTCTATACGTGATCTGTCTGACCATGGATAGTGATGATCGTCAAAAGCTAACAATACCTGTGCACAGTATTCATTTACGATAATTTTTCGCTGCGGCCTAGACAGTCGAACCACCAGACGGTCAAACATAGCCGAAGCAAAGGACGTTCTTTATGATATAAGCCGCTATCTTTCACTGCAGTGACGGAAATGTATAAACTAAATCATTGACAGTTGCAAACACACATAGACTGAGTCGATAGCTTTGTACAGGGTATACCCTACAATGATGTAATTACATCTCACTTGGGTTTTGTGGGTGTATCATTGAAAAGATGCATGGTGTGCCTTATCATGAACATTTCGACGCAAAATGTCTGCACCAAGCAAAAAAAATTCTCACCAAACCTGCTTCGTGATTTGCATCAGTTGCGTTTTTAGGATCGCACTGTCTTCTTTGCAAGGACCATAGGCGCGTTATGCAGAATTTGATAATGTGTATTGCAGAGTCCAATACATTCTAATGAAGAGTTCTTCGATGCGGTAGCAACATCCGTGGTGCTACTCTCGTCGACATGTCATATCTTTTAAGAAATGCTTAAGGAATTTTTGTATTAGCCGCTTTTTTTGCCTTGTCCGGTACCAAGCACCTGATCTAAAGTCGCCCAAATAATACAGTTTAGCGCGGATTTTGATTCGAATATGGCTGTCGGCAGGTCATGATAGACCAAAACTTTGTCAAAAACATCCTAGCTGTATTCTCTCCGCTGAAACAGACGGTTCACAAAGACCGCATTGTCTAATTTACGAGGCTCGACATTCGGAAGTTCGAAAAGTTCAAACTAGCAGACTGTCAATATTCTGTCGGCAAAAGCAGACTGGCCGAAGGCGCCAACGTAACGGCGTGGGCTTTACCTACGGAAACTTTTTGGATTTTCGCACATTTTTGCTTATATATCGACGCCCGCCAGTACGTAATATATTCTGAGCATTATGGTTTCTCTAGCAATGTGGTCATCACGGTTGGGATCATGTGCCTGGAATGTATTACGTTCTTGATGTCCTTATCGCGGAATACCACCATTATCTAGACCGGCGATGTATTATGGTAAGCCTTGGAAAAGAAGTGGCTGTGTAACAGTGAAAACCAACGCTTCAATGTAGTGGCATCACGATATATCCCGCAAATTATGCCTCGTTATGAAATTTGGTATTTGTTGGTCTCAAAACATACACTTGCCTATACTGGCAAACAGCTCATCGAAGCGCATACATTTGATCACACTTGCAGGCATATAATGTGGATTTTTACTCCCGACTTTCATGTTCGGCAAGACAAAATAGAATACAGTGAAAAGTTTATGCATAAGCTCAATGCGGCCTAAACAGCTGTATAACTAGACAGTTTAAAATACTGGTGCATTAGACGTCTTTAAGGCATAAACTGTCAATATTCAGCATCCCTCTCGAAGTATTTACCGCAGTGAGAAGAATGTCGCTGTACACGATAAGAAGTTGACATATTCTATTAGCAAGGTGTAGCACAGAAAACGATACAAACGACCATGATGTGCAGCAGCGCTTTTTTCAGTAATGGATGTTTGCGCTGGACTGACGGCTACACCAACTTTTTTTTAGTATACGCAACCCTCACTTACTGTCAATTCTTCTGAAGCAGGAAGTTAGCGCCAATAGTGTTGAGTGACTCTCTCATGAAATGCTCGAAAAGCATAATAAGAAAAGCATATCGGATAATTACAATTTTTTCGGACAGGGTCAATGATGTGTGTCGCCGATTGCCATTGACACCGTCACGAAGTGTCGTTGGTTTAAGTGCCAGAAAGGAATTCGATCAAGCACAAGTTACGTTCTTCCTGAGTCGGAAGTCGCATTTGGGTCGGGTATCTCGCCGCCGCATCGTGGCATCATTTTGGCATATATTGAAATAGAAGCGTTGTCACTCCCGTGCTTAGTGCTCTGCAAGTGTCCTTAATCACGAATTTACTATTGATTGATGATGTGCCCAGCTATTTTCCCAGTGCCAACCGTACATACCTAGTAGTTTGACCATATTTTCATTCTTCACACACCGCCAACGAATATTCCTTCAAGGTGAAATGATAGCTGCTACCAGGAGTAATAATCAAAGACTTACATAGGTCTACCCCGGTACGAAACCGCTTACATCTGTTTCGATGCGACCAACTCCTGGAGACCGTGACACGAAGTCACCCGTGTCAGTTTCATTATCAATTATCTCTAGATCTGATCTTGCTGGTGAACATATCTGTCTCGCCAAAAAAAACGATTCGGATACCACGGCCTATGGCTGCTAATTCCCGTTTGTTCAACGACCGTAGATCACTGCCGCATCGGATTTATTACTTTGCTCAAGACACTATGCAATCATACCGCTACTCGGTAAGAAACATTTCATTTTTTAAGTCAAAGCTATCAGCTTCATGCCCGCGTCAAAACGTGTTTGCTCTATTAGAAAAGGTGTGTGTTCATGACTCACTAAGACAGGTGCATATTTCAAAAGCTTTAAATTTCTCGTCGATTTATCTCGCCTGGCTCCTAGTATCTTGGCAATTTTCAAGATCAGATCGTATCTATATATTAGGTGTAGTGTAAGACAGCTTTCACTCTGTTCCGGAAGGATATTCAAGAACCTTTGACGTTTTCTTGATGCAAGGCAAACAATATCGCTCCCGTTACCAGCAAACTTAACGCCCCCAGGTACTTCTTATGATTTTCGGTAGTCGAGCATCGTACGCAATGAGGCGAAGCTCCTAAATATACAAGGACTTTCCACGGCTTTAGAGTCCGGTACGGCAATACTGATGACCAGCAGCCCTGGGCCGGGAGCTCTACCTTTATGAAAACAATTCGCTTCGCTTTCAGGCTAATCTCAACCCTCATGAGATCTAGTTATAATCAGGAAGTACGTAGGAACTCGACGTCTTCCCGTGAAGGGTTTGTCACTCAATCTTGCGAGAGCACATGATAATCGCATTTCTCAACCACAAGAGAAGGGTAACTTCAAACAAATATTTTTGACACTTGCATATGTGAGTATCATGATGCTGTACGGCTGTTGAGAGAATTTTCCCTTCTTTCTCAGTTTGTCTTAGATCTATCACCTCCAGCCAGCTTATGAAGCCTTCTTTGATGCACTTCCACTGGTTCCGAAAGATGAAGATGGACGCAAAGGGCCTTCTGGATGTATCATGTGTGTAAGATTGTAAATGTTACCGTTTCTGGAAGACGGTCTACCGCCATACTGGCTATTTGATCTTCTTAACTCTTGACAGTATTCGCTAACTCTTAACTACTTTTTATAGACAGGTTGACAAGAACTTCGATCGCAAACGCTTCGCCTGCCATTTCTGATAGCTTAATATTTCTCATTTTGATATGCTTCTTACAGAAGTTCTGTATATAGATGTAATTCTTGAATCAGGCTTTCTTGCTCGAACTCCTCTAGTGCAACACGCTTACGCTGCATTTTTTAAAGTAGCCAGCTTCAACACCATCTCCACCTGTCTTAAATAGGTTAACAAATCTTTTTGTTTTTTTATACTGCTCAAAAGCCGTGAGTTAACCGTAGGTAGCCTTACCAAGGCTCGTCCAAAGATGAGTCATCAGTACATTTTTGCAGCTGGTTAATGCTCTAAAGCAAATAATAAATTTTCGGGTCCTTGTGTCGCCAATTGCGTTACCATTGGGGCCAACCAAAAAAATGATCTTGTAAGGCGTTGTCTTACTTCCCGAAGGCAGATGTATAAGTATATGATGTTCCATCGTCGCAGAGGATCTAATCGTAGCAAATGTCGCTCTTTGTACTGAGAATAAGTCTGCCGGATGCAACAGGGCCAGATGCAACGGGGTTGCCTTGCATCTTGCACAAAAGTAGCTTTGGCTATGTTAAAGGTAACTCTCGCCAGTGATGGTCTCAAGTACTGAGGACTTTGTTAAGTCCTAGCAGCTTCATCTGGTACTTCTGAGCTTTGCTTTATGTCCAAGGGGAAATATTGTAATGCACACCATGATAGGTGTGTACCCTGTTACAACTTTAAAGCCGACTTATGTACGCAAAAGTGTGTGATGCGGGATACAGCTAGTGCTTCACCAATATTTGTCTTTTTAACGAACTTTAACGTGAATCGTCGGTGGAGTGACTGCGTCATATGTGAGAACTATCGCAGCGTACAGACTAAGCTTTGCGAAAATATGAACGCCGGATTGCATAATCGACGCCCTTCGTACACAACATAGTTTGAGCTTTGTTAAGTGAAAGCAACTTCGAATTCGACGCTGAATGCATCGATGACGATCCCCGCTGCCTTTCATGCAATCGAGATATACAAGTTTCAATGTGAACATCCAGTCATTGCGTGGAACTCCAAGTCGTATTTGTAGTGCAAGAAAGACGCAAAAATCAACTTCGAGCGACTGGAACGACGGAAAAGATCGCAAGAAACTTAATAGAGACGAAGACTCTAATGTTAGTGTGTAAAGTTGATCTTGATTTTCTGGGCAGCTACATAGTTTCGAGGGCTGTTGTGCAACACCTTTGACACTACAGAATGTTGTGTGTAAATAGCGTAGATATTCGAAAAGAGCACGGAATCGAATTCTGTAAATTGACTCTGTATCTTATTATACTCGTCGAAATCATGAGTTTGAAAGCATGACTATCAAATAGTTTGTGCGCGATTCAATTGCATATGAGATGCAAAAAATGATCTCTTTAACTGCTTGTGGTTGCTGCAATGAGTCGTTCAAGTATCTACGTTCAAGATGAGAGAAACTATATAATATTTATAAGAAATTCGATGATTTTCACGTCTATAGACTGTCGTGTGGACGACATTTTTTTAGAATTTGATATGAACTTTGCGGAGGATTAAATGCATTCTCAACAATAACCACAACGTGACTTTACCAGCGACCAAACGAGCATTGCCTTTTGTTGAACAAAATAGGTAGCCCGATACGCTACCCCTGCGCAAAAGTGCTGCAAATGTCAGAAAGGAAGAAAGGACCTGGTGGTTTGAAGGTTAGTTTCCAAGTAAATGTATTATGCTTATAGCTAGCTAATTATGCAGATCGTTGGGAGTTTCATAACTCCTCCTGGTTTACTTAGGTACGACTTAACTTATTTCCAACACTCCTCCCTCGGTGTGCTGTACATCGTCCA